GTTATTATGTAAATCTGTTACCCCTGGCAACCTATCACTGTACCAATAAATATTGATGGGAAACTTTATTCGACACATCACAGCTCACAGGAATGCCGGGAGTCTCCCAGTCCCCCATCTATTATAAATTCTATACTTTATAAAACTGTACTTTCGTCTCTGTGTATTCTTTTATTTCTATATTCTATTATTTTCTATTATTTCCTTATCCTTTCCAATGACGCCTGCCTAATGGACCTGATTTTTTTTGCTGGGAGTGTAGATAACTCCCCAAAACCCCCCTCAATCAATTTGGGTGGGGTCTATTATTTTGTTATCTAATATGTTTTTTCCTAGGAAAATTCTCAGTTTTTACCTTTTACAGAAATGCTCCTGCCCACAGGCCAACCCAGACTCTAGGAGTCAGGGGAAGTGGGCCTTTCAGGAGCCTTAGCAAAGAATGTAGAGAAGAAAAGATGTTCGTGGTGACTCGGAACAGGGTTTTGCTCTTCTGTAATGTGCTAAGGATGGATTAGTTCTTGGCATAGACTCTCTGCTGAGGCAATGTCTCCTTTTTTGAGTCCCTAGGAACAGTTAGTTATTCCACTCTTGTCCTGATGAAGCATGGTGCTTACACCCCTGTTGTCATCCACACTCAACACACTCTCCTGTAGTTTGTCTGTTGTTGGGTCTCTGTCCCCCTGTGTCTGAGCTTCTTGAGCTCAGAGGTGGGTCTAACTTGACTTAAGGTCCCAGCACCTCCAGCACAGGGCCAGCTGGATCACTGGAACTTGATAATCACATTGTGAGTGAGTGGGATGGCAGATGATCTAGCTGGTAGTTCCGAAAGACTACGGTTCTTGACAGTTCACACGATTTACACACATATCTTGCTGCATATGTACCAGAAAAATGGTGAAGCAGTGCTAATTTCAATTTTCCATGTCTTTCTCTACTCAGCATCTTTGGGGCCTACAGCATGGATGTGATCACGGGCACATCATTTGGAGTGAACATTGATTCCCTCAACAACCCACAAGATCCCTTTGTGGAAAAGACCAAGAAGCTCTTAAAAGTTGATTTCTTAGATCCACTCTTTCTCTCAACAAGTATGTGGACTATTATTTCTTTTTCTCTCTCTTTTTTAAAATAACTACTTTATTGAGATGTAATTCAAATACCATATAATGTACACACTTAAAATGAACATTTCAATGGTTGATAATACATTCAAACATATGTGTAACCATCACCATTGTCAACTTTAGAATATTTTCATGAACTCAGGGACCTGTAATTTTTTTTTATTTTCTTAACATTACTTTATTTTTTTGTTTTTTTTTTTTTTACTTTCTTCTCGTTATTTCAGAATATTATGGGGGTGTAAAAGTTTAGGTTATATATATTGCCTTGGCACCACCCAAATCAAAGCTACATGCATGCCCATCACACAGTCAGTGCATACCTTACCCATTAGGTGTGAATATACCCATCTCGTCCTCTCCCTCCCACCTGCCTGACACGCAATGAATATTACTTCAATATGTGCACATAAGTGTTGATCAATTAGTACCAATTTGGTGGTGAGTATATGTGGTGCTTGTTTTTCCAATCTTGTGACACTTCAGAAAATGGGTTCCAGCTCCATCTAGGATAATATAAGAGGTATTAGTTAAATTCTATTTTCTAGGATTGTATTCAGGATTTTGCATCTATATTCATAAGGGATATTGGTCTGTAGTTTTCCTTTTTTGTTGCGTCCTTTCGTGGTTTTGGTATCACAGTGAAGTTGGCTTCAGAAACGTGTTGGGTAGGATTCATTCCCTCTCAATATTGTGGAATAATTTCTCTAGGATAGCCACCAGTTCTTTTTTGTAAGTCTGATAGAATTTGGGTGTGAAACCATCTGGTCCAGGGCTATTTTTTTTAGGAAGGATTTTATTGCTGCTTTAATTTTGGTACTTGATATTGGTATGCTCAGGAGTTCTATTTTTTCCTGATTGAGCCTAGGGAGACTGCATGATTCTAAGAATTTGTCCATTTCCTCAACATTTTCAAGTTTATGTGCATAGAGATTTTTATTGTATTCAGAGATGATATCTTGTATTTCTGTGGTATCAATTGTAGTTTCTCTTTTTTCATTCCTAATTGAGTTTATTGGAGTCCTGTTAACTTAATCCTGTCACCCAAAATGCAGGAGAGGTCATTGATCTCACAGCTATAAGGGTGGCCCCTAAGTTTGGATGTGCCATTGCTCAGCCATTGGCCTGGAAGATGAGCCAAGGTCATAGAAGGAATGGTTCCTCCTTGAGAACCCTGAAGTCTATTACTTTTCACACTTGTAGAGAAAATTATAATTGCTCCAGGTAAATTTTGTGTTTACATGATGGTTTTCTTTTTTTATCCCCTATAGTACTCTTGCCATTCCTTACCCCAATTTTTGAAGCATTAAATATCTCCATGTTTCCAAGAGATTCTACAAACTTTTTAAAAAACTCTGTAAAAAGGATGAAAGAAAGTCGCCTCCAAGATAAACAAAAGGTAAAATCTGGTGGTGGTTACATGAAGATGTTCACTTTCGGATAGTTTGGGAAATCATATTCTTATAATTTGGGCATTTAAGTGTATTTTTTAAAGGAAGGCAAAAAACTTAAGGAAAGAACAAAAGAAGAATTCATTTTGTAGGAATGAAGAAGGTGGAGGATGGGAGGCAGTTATACAAATGAGTGATAGCCGATAGCAGTGGCTTACGCCTGTAATCCTAGCACTCTGGGAGGCCGAGGCGGGCGGATTTTTGAGCTCAGGAGTTCGAGACCAGCCTGAGCAAGAGCGAGACCCCGTCTCTACTAAAATAGAAAGAAATTAATCAGACAACTAAAAATATATAGAAAAAATTAGCCGGGCATGGTGGTGCATGCCTGTAGTCCCAGCTACTCGGGAGGCTGAGGCAGGAGGATTGCTTGAGCCCAGGAGTTTGAGGTTGCTGTGAGCTAGGCTGACGCCATGGCACTCTAGCCAGGGCAAAAGAGTGAGACTCTTGTCTCAAAAAAAAAAAAAAGAATGAGTGAGGCAGACTGCATTTAAAATTTAATATCAGGTATAGTAATTACTATGTCATAGCATAAACGTTGGTGAGAAAAAACTTAACCACTTCACTTCAATAAATTGTAAGAGGAAAACGATTACTCTTTAACAATGATTTTACTGCTATTTTCATTGTCAAACATTGCAGCCTGGTAAGGAATCCTTTCAAGTTATTTTAGACATTCACCCATGGAAAGCCCTCTCTGGGTATGTGCTTAGTATAGCCTACGTTAAATATAAGCATGCTCAATGCCTGAAGTGGGCTGAGGTCTTCTCTGGGCCGTGGGGCTGCAAGCTGGCTGACACAGCTTTGCCTCATGAGGGCTCCAGACCAGGCCAAGGATGCCTACAGGTCACAGAGGCGGAACTGGTTACATAGATGTTACTAAAGATTGTATAGAGTTCTGGGAGAGTGGAGCACTTAAAGATGCTACCACAAAGAAAACTGCAAAGGAGCTCTGAAAATGTCAGAAAATTAATCTATGTGACCGTTGGTTCAGAATGAAGGCCTCAGAACAAAAAGAACTTAAGTCCTGAGCAAGCAGGTGTGATGGGAACAGGAGCAGGCAACTCTTTGGCCAGGAAACAGTGTCCAAAAGCCAGAGAAGCAAAGGATCAGGGAGTAAAGACCAAAAAGCAGTTGCACGTGATAGCTGGAATTCTGCCAGGAAACATCCTGCCCTCCAGGGTCTTAGATGGATGTTTTTGTTCACTGGTCACTCAGGAAACACCTGTCAGACTCTGGACTTCAGTGGTCTATATTGTCAGAAGGGAGGTTGAAGACTGCGCGCCCAATGTACTTCTGTCTTCACGATTCCCCTTCTGTCACTGAAATTTCTCTTTCTGCTTCCAGCACCGAGTAGATTTCCTTCAGCTGATGATCGACTCCCAGAATTCAAAAGAAACTGAGTCCCATAAAGGTAACCAAGGAGGACTTCTGGCAACTCCTGATGAGGAAGCCCAGAGGGAGGGTCTCGTTCTAAAAATGTGCAGGAAGCTTTCCAGGAAGAGGAGAATTTCTGCCACACTGCAAAATGACACACATTTAAATATTAGAAATGGTAGCTTGATGCACCTTCTAGAAGCACACAGGAATAGCCGTGTTCAAAGCAAGAAGGGAAGCCCTGAACAAACCTCTCTTGCCTCGAAGTCAGCCAGGGGTCTGTGGATCACCTACATGAGAACAAATGCAGGTTCTCAGCCTCCTCCAGATCCACTGAGTCAGAACCTCTGCCAAGAAATTTGTATCTAACATCGAATCAGGAGGCACACTGGCCCAACAAGGGTGATTTTAACTACGAATACTTGGTAAAAGTGTGCTCACAAGCTCAATCTACTGTAAAGATTTATTTTTCCCTTCACAATGAGTAAGTAACCTATGGGGAAACATTTTAGACTATGTAAATATCCTATTCCTCCGGACCTTTCACCAACTAGTTTCACCACCAATGGATCCTTCTGACTCAAATTATAATAACTATGATGGTGGCAAAATAAGGATCATGGTCAGTGTCAAGCTTCAAAAGTTTAACAACCATCTCACAAAAGTCCTGAATACTTACAATTGGCTCTACAGAGCAAGGATGGACTTGCCCCAGCACACTACAGTACATGTGTCTATGTGTCCATCTATTCTATCATCTGTGTATCCATTCTCTACCTATCTATCATCAATCTGTCTATCCCAATACAAGTTTCTGTGATGAAGGAAATAGTCTATCATTTCCCCGTTTTATACAGTCACCACTGGACACATGGGGCTACTGGGCACTGAACAGGTGTCTAGAGCCATTGAAGAGGAATTTTAACATGTATTTAATTTTAATTAATTAGAATTTAAGTTTAAACAGGTACATGTGGCTAGTGGTGATCTCATTAAACAACAGAGCTCTAAACTTTGTGATTATAGAGGAAGATCAAGTCAGTTTCATTGGGTTGATGCTAACTGCATAAAAATTTGATAGTTAAATTTACCCACTGAAGCATCACAGAATGATCACTGGAAAATCACAACTGTGCAGACACTTCTCACACTCATTTTGTATTGTTTTTAGTAATGAATTACATGGGTGGGGTGGGCACCATATATATTTCAGTCATTTGGGTATATAAAGGTCCTAATCCTGTCCCAGTGAAACAGTCCAAACCCTGACCGTGCTCTGCTTCTCTCCACAGAAACAATGAAGGAGAAGGCCAGCTTGTAATCATAAAGGCTTCTGCTATTTTAGTGCCATTCATCAGGCTAGGGTTAATCACCACCCTTTGAGCTTTTTGTCTATTTCTGTTATTTCTGTACATCCTGAGATAGTCCATTTTGAAAAACTGTACCCTAAATCTTCTAGTACTTGATGCCTCTTAAAGTAAAATCCATGCTTCTCAGGCATACATCATATCTCCTAAAGGTTAGGTACTGATTCTGTAGGTCTAGGTGGGGCTTTAGATTCTGCATTTCTAATGAGCTGCCAGATCCTGTTGATGCTGCTGATGCATGGACCACACTTGGAGTAGCAAGAGTTTATCTGTAGCCCTATATTGTTCCCTTAAGTTCCCTCAACGATGCGTAGAGAAAATATCCTTCAATTTTCCCTGAAGCCTCAGTATTGCAAATTCTTAAAAATTTTCAAGCTCTATTGTAACTAACATAGTTTAAATTTTTCCTGATGCACAAGGTTACCCTATATTTTACTTACAGCTGAAGTACTTTTATGATTATCCAAGGGACACACCAATAACACTGAGTATGTTAGACAGAAATGCTCTCTGGAAATACCCAGATGTGTTAGTGGTGAGGATGACATAATGAGGAGTAGATGGGCCACAATCATATACACCTCGAGATAAACTGGGTTAATACAATGTTGCCTTGTTCTGGCTCTATAACACAGACATCAGAAGGAAAACCACTCCAGTGAGACTCTGAGTTACTTTCCCACTTTTTTCACTAGGGAGTTGGGAGCTCACTTGGATTTTAGTTCCTGTAAACTGTGATCTTCTACACTGACTTGCTTTACCTAACATATCCTTTCTCTCCTTTCAGCTCTGTCTGATCTGGAGCTTGTGGCCCAGTCAATTATCTTCATTTTTGCTGGCTACGAGACCACTAGCAGTGTTCTTTCCTTCATTATGTATGAACTGGCCACTCACCCTGATGTCCAGCAGAAACTGCACGAGGAGATTGATGCAGCTTTGCCTAATAAGGTGAGTGGATGATACATGGAGAGGGAGGGAGGAGGCGAAGCCTTAGCAAGAATGCCTGCTCACCACTTCCTAGGTGGAGTTTTTCCAAATGTGTAAGCCTTGATTTTTTTCCCAGACACTACTTAGGAAGGCTCTAAAGAGGAAAAGAAAGGGAGAAATATAGGTACTGGATGCTGCTCCCAGAAATACAAGACATTTTGAAAACAGTGCCGGTCCTCGTGCATCTATTATCAGTTACCACAATAATGCAAAAAAAAAAAAAAAAAATCCAGAAAATCTTAGTGACATCTAACAATAAGCATTTGTGGCTCATGTCTGGATAGATAGCTTAGCCTGCTTTTTACTCTGGCTGTTGTCTGATCATCCTGGCCTCAGGTGCACTGGGCAGGTGGACCCAGCTCTGCCCAGCACCTGTCTCATGCTGCAGTCATGGAGCTAGTGGTGAAGAAGCCAAGTAGGAGCCAGGGTTTCTGGCTCCTGTGGAATCTCTTAACCTCTACACCATTGCCTCCAAATACCAGACGAAGTGCTAGGGACATATCACCCACACTCTTTTCAGATCTCTGCCCAACTGGGATCCTTTGTGTTGTGAATAGACCTGGCCTCTGGGGCTGGCAAGGCTGGTCAGGCAGAGAGGTGAACACAAAGGGATTGTTTTTATAGCTGATAGTCAAGCCCTTAAGCAGCAAGTAGTAAACTGAGCAAGAGGGGATGGTGATGAATGTGGGACTTCTATCCCCTTTATAAGTTTTATTAGAATTGAAATCATGTACCCTGGGAGCTTCTAATCTTAACCTTCTTTTGTCCTGTTTGTGTTGGAGATAGACTACTTTGTCCTCAAATTATTTATGGAGCTTTTTATAGTCTTTCTATTAACATTTTATATATATAATCAAAAGGGTTACCAAGCACGATTTCCAACCAAAAAGCCTTATGTGGAACAGGGGAATTTGCTCTTCACATGCTCTTTTCCCTTCCTGGGTACACATGTGGCCCACTTTTGCAAGGTGACATCGACTTTGACATATTATCGTGAAATGTAAAGTTCACCCTCCTTTCTTCACATTTGTTCATGAGAGAAGAAAAGGCACTATGTGGTTATGCTCAGGATTTCAGTCCCCGGGTAGAGGATGTCCCCACAGGTCTCCCACATCTGTAACATCTCCACATGTCTAATGGGACATAGAGCAGATCAAGCTCTTGATAGTTATTAAAATGCCTTAAGGATGTGAAGGTCCTCTGCCAATATGTTTCTTTTCATCCCCTAACAATTCAATAATACTCACTGTACTGCATTGACAGTTAATTCCAACTTTCAATTTATTAAAATATGGGCTTTTTTTTGTTCCCAGACACCTGCCACCTATGACGCCCTGGTACAGATGGAATATCTTGACATGGTGGTGAATGAAACTCTCAGATTATTCCCCATTGCTGCAAGACTTGAGAGGGTCTGTAAGAAAGACGTTGAAATCAAGGGAGTGTTCATCCCCAAAGGGGTAGTGGTGACAATACCAACTTATGCCCTTCACCGAGACTCAAAGTACTGGCCAGAGCCTGAGGAGTTCCGTCCTGAAAGGTACAAGGCCCCTGGGAAAGGAAGCCCACTCTGAACCAGGGTGGTTCCAGCATATTCTGACATCTCTTAGTATACATAATAATCATGTGTTGTACATTTTCTTGTAAGTCTTTTTATTTGTACAAGTTTCCTATTAAAAAGTATTGATTGTGAAAGTTTATAAATCATAGACTAGTAAAAGGAAAACTATAGCCACACACAATTAAAACACCATAAGATAAGCCTCATTTATTATGTGATGTATGCCCTGATGGACATTTTTCTTTGCATACATAACTTTTTAAAAACTAGAGCGTTACCATGTTTTATTTGTTTGAACTGCTTCTTACTTTAAGAGTAAACTATAAACCATCCACTATCCTTTTTAACTGTATATTTTTGGTATGGATTTGCCATAATTCATTTCACTCCTATTTTATCTTAGTATAGGCCTTTTACTCTTTTCATCTTTTCTGTGCTGTTCCCTATATCCCTCTGAATTTACCATCAACTTTAACAAAGGATTCCACATTCCTTTGTGTTCAACATTGGTTGCTGTTTCCTCAAGGGTAATTTACAGGTGCAGGGTGAGGACCTAAGAAGTCCTCACCTCTGTTGGTGTAAGCCATTCCATTGAGGACAGAGGAGAGCACAGGTCTTCCTGGTCACGTCTATGACTGCAGTCCTGTGGCAGGTCCCTTGTACTCTCAGTGGTCAGTGACTCTTCCAAAGCACAGCCATAGCTTTCTAGACATCTCAGACATTCCAGCAACCTGCTCTGGGAATATAGTGCCAAGATTGGTCTTGGGAACTCTGCAAATAGTTGATGCCTTTTCATTATTCTATTGGTAAGCAAACTTAAGAATATGGTTTTTAGGGTTCTGGCTGGTGAGTCAGGAGGCCTGGGAGCTAGATTTTTACTGACCCATCACTACTAGCCTGATGATGGCGGGAAGCTTGTCTTCCTGGCCATGGTGTCCCTTAGGCTAGCATGGAGTCTGCACGTATGTGTTGGAAGAGTAATCAGAATTGACCAAGCCCTCTGTTGCCTGGAGCAGCAGAATTCTGTGTTTCTTTGAACCTGAGCAATTCAACCTCCTCTAGCTGCACAGATGGAAAATCAGAGACCACTCACTGCACTCCAATTGGATTCATTCTGTCACCAAACAGAAAGTAAGTGCTTCCTGAGTGTCAGGAACTGGACCCAAATGTGAGACATGCAAACATTAAAAAAAAGTTTATTATGGAGGATGTTTCACATATACGCATGTATATTCTATAGAAACAAGTCTATAGAGTACTTTTAATGCATCTGCATGTGCCCATCTCCTGCCATAAGAAGGATCAATGTGTGTCAGCTGTCCCATCAACACAGCACCACAACCATCTCCCAAACCCCTGTTATTTTGAGGAAAATTGCCTTTAAATATTTCAGAGTGCTCTCCAAAATCTAAGGACATCTTTTAATACACAACACCACAATGTCATTATCACTTTACCCACAACAACATCTTTTCTTAATATAATCACATAGTGAGGAATCAATTTGAACAAAATACAGGTCTAACCTTCAAAGAATTTATAGCCTAGTGGAACAGATAGATAAGGAAAACTGTGATTATATTATAGGAGAGTAGCATCAAACACCCATGTAAATTACCTGACTTAAATTATTCTATGTGGGGGAAAGAGAAAGAGGGGGAGATTGAGAGGTAAGGAGGAGGAAGAGAAAAAGGAGGAGGAGGGGAATGAGAAGGAGGAGGAGGACTATGAAGACAAAGACAAAGAAGGAGAAGACAGGGAAGAGGAAGAGGGAGCAGGAGATTTAGAAAGAAAAGAAAGCAGAGGATAGATGAGGAGAAGGAAAAAGAAGAAACCCAATTTAAATAGTGCTAGATATTTTCTCTTGTTCTTTCCTCAATGCACATATGGCCAACATAAGTATGATTTGAGGCAGAAAATTACTTTTCCATTAATTCTTCTCATTACTTATGTGCCTTTTAAAGTGTGAGCACATCACAACCAGGAATATAATTTTAGTAGTTACAGGTAAGTTTTTAAAACAGTACTCATCTCATCTCAACAAAATGCACAGCTCCTATAACATAAGGAGAATGGTGAGGATTTATAGCTTACAATTTTCATAGCAAAATAACCATAGCAGGATTGCAATGACTAACATACAAGAGTATTTTGTTTACTACTGCTTGTGGGGACAGGAGGTCTAAGTCAGAACTCCTAACATACAGACTTCGTGGATTTTCCCTCATTAACTTTTTTATCTACTATTGTGGAGCCAGGTTCAGCAAGAAGAACAAGGACAACATAGATCCTTACACATACCTGCCCTTTGGAACCGGGCCCCGAAACTGCATTGGCATGAGGTTTGCTCTCATGAACATGAAACTTGCTCTCGCCAAAATACTGCAGAACTTCTCCTTCAAACCCTGTAAAGAAACACAGGTCAGTAAACTTTCTGTATACATAATGTTTTATTGAAAATTTTCTTTACTGTGGAGTCTATATTTAAGAAAAGAATATGCTTGTTCATATTTTTAGTAATTTATTTTATGGGGCAAATAATGTATTTGGAGCCATCAATGATCTTTAAGGGTGCTTCAGTTATGTAGTTCAAAACATGGCTTTATAAACGACCAAACTATATAGATCATCTAAAGTCAGTGCAGATTAGCATGACATAAGTATGTCCAGTCTCTATAACATAGCCAGTTAGCAGGGGCAAGAGAAATAAATTTTAAAAAATAAAAAAAGGGGCCGGGCGCGGTGGCTCACGCCTGTAATCCTAGCACTCTGGGAGGCCGAGGCGGGCAGATTGTTTGAGCTCAGGAGTTCAAAGCCAGCCTGAGCAAGAGCGAGACTCCGTCTCTACTAAAAATAGAAAAGACATTGATTGGACAACTGAAAATACACAGAAAAAAAAAATTAGCCGGGCATGGTGGCGCATACCTGTAGTCCCAGCTACTTGGGAGACTGAGGCAGAAGGATCGCTTGAACCCAGGAGTTTGAGGTTGTTGTGAGCTAGGCTGACGCCACGGCACTCACTCTATCCAGGGCAACAGAGTGAGACTCTGTCTCAAAAAAGAATAAAAATAAAAATAAAATAAAATAAAAATAAAAAAATAAAAAAAGGAATGATGTCCAGTCTCTTTGTACTCGAGCAAGAGTTCAATTCAGTTTCAAATGAATTGGAAAGATAAGAAGGTGTTTTGCACAATCGCACAGTGCAGTGATTATCTCATCCTGACTTTCAAGGGGTGTTTCCTCCACTTCCCATCATTATACTGCATGGTTTCACTTGAGAGGTGTGACTGCATTGATTAGAATTCAAAGACTGCCCACGTGATTAAAGTGTATAATACCTACCCAGGAGAACATTGCAAAATTCAAAATATACAAAATGACCTTTATATGGCTGTTCAAATATAGTTTGCTGTAATGCCTAAGAATTTGGAATAAATTTTTAAGCCTCATTCATTTTACATAAATTTTAATTTAAAAAAACTGAAGCCAACATGAGTTCAACTCAGACTTGGCACAAAATAGGCGCTCAATACATATTGTATTAAATGATGGATGGAAGAATACTCTCACTATTCAATCTTCACACAGCTTATAGAATAAGTATACAGAATCCAAGACACATGATGCTGAAAGTAGTTTTTATACATTTGCAAAGCATTATTATCCTTAATGTATCTTTTCTGTTTTTCTTCATGTGCTTCATTTATTGCTTCTCAATATGTTTGTTTAACTATTGCAGATCCCTGTGAAATTAAGCCCAAGGGGACTTCTTCAACCAGAAAAACCTATTGTTCTAAAGGTTGAGTCAAGAGATGGGGCCATAAGTGGAGCCTGACTTTCCCTAAGGACTTCTGCTTTGTTCTTCTAGAAACATCTAAGAACACCAGAGACCCCAATTTACATTGTTAATAAAACTCAGGAATAAAGAAGAGCTTAACCCAGGGCACTTGATCAATGACTAGGAATTCTGTACATTCATTGTTCTCTCTCAGTGTCTTTGGAAGAGTGTATATTGTGTGATATAAAGGAGGTGACTAAACCAAAGCCACATATATGAATTCCAATTGTCTGATCTTCATAGGACAATCTCCACCCACCCCCAGTTAGTACCATTGACTCCCTTTCAGCTCTGATAAGAAAATAAATATTTCTCAACAGTTTTATCAAGAATTGTTGCTGAAAGTAAGAATTACTGTGGTGGCTATAATTGTGGCATTTGTACCACCTGTTCTGTTTGTAATATACTATAATAAGTATACTGTAATAAGTATTATACTGAGCAAACCAATAAGCATTTATTTACACAATTATTATCTGATGCCTTCATGCACATTAAGGAAGAATCTGTAGGACTGAGTGATTGAGAACCAGCAACTAAGAATTCTTTGTCATCATAATCACTGGTTCCGTCGGCCTATTTCAAAACTCAATTTGATTATTAACATAGGTGACAGTTAAGCCATTGTGATTTTGCCATTGCTTAGAATATATATTCACAGTTTAATTTTACCTTTTGAACCACAAATTTTTATAACACTCAGAGGAGGAACTTATTATTATACTAATAGTTTTGATTTAACATCTTAATCCCATCTTCCCTGATGTTTCTGGAAGGCAGGACACATGTTTTCTTATATCTCTTGTAGTCCATCATCAACTTCCAAATGCTAAACACAAGAAACATTGAATAAGAAATTGTCAGTGTGTCAATTGGTTTGGCAGCAAGACTAAAAGCACTCACCAGTTTCAGCTGGAATCAGACAGTACACAGTGTTCTTACTTTTCCTTTTCGGCTCCTTCCCTCCACTTTCTTTTCTGAAGAATTCAGTCCCTAAGCCATTAAGTGTGTTACAGCAAGGTGATGGCCACAGGTAAAGGCAGAGGATGGACTCATGGTGGTGTCCACATGCAGGGGCAGCCAGGTCTGGGTGCAGGAGCCAAGGAAGGGGAGGAAGGGCCCATGCAGATGGGGCCCAGCAAGAGCAGCCAGAGCCCACGTAGGGTGTGAAGAGCCCAAGGAGGTGAGGAGACAACCGTGAGTGGGGAGGGATGGGTGGTGGCTATGTAAAGGAAGCTGATTAAATAAGTAAATATGTTAACGATGATGGAAGTCAGGGTTCTCACTGTTGGAGAAGCCAGTCTCTGATTCAGAAAGGGACAAAACTAGAATGAATCCTGTTCAGTAAGATTTGAATGAAATATATCAGAGCCAAGAATGCCGACCAGAGACAGAGCATGTCGGACCATCCTGGCTGAAGTGTTGAGGATTGGACTGAGGAGAGTGGAGAGTGATTACTGCTTAGAAGTGGACCACAGGGACAGACAGCAGTGGAGTCTGGGTTCACCACCTAGGAGGAACTGAGCAGCAGAGAAAGAGGAGGATAGAAGGGACTAACCGGCATGATCTAACTCCAGGGAGTTCTGGAGCCCATGAAAGTCTTAGGGGTTTTTTCTTCTTCCCCTCGCCCAGGTGCCTCGGACCAGCAATGGGACACAGGGCTCTCTTCCCATGGGGTATTGCCATGAGCGACCAAAGAGTTGGCATCTCTGCATCTGGACAACCCCTCCTCTGCATGTCCTCCACTCCTGGCATCCCAGGATGTAATTTTGGCTCAAGACACTTCTAGCAGCAGGGCCGCACCCACTCCACAGCAACCACCAAAGTGCGTTATGCTGAGGGACTTGGCTCCCCACAAGGAGAGTGCACTACCAGCTGAGGCTGCCTCAGTCAGCACAGTCACCACAGTGGCATGGAGAGGAGAGTAGCTACTCTGCTGTGACTCGGGCTTGGAGAAGAGGGCAGGTGAATGCCCCCCAACTCAAGACCCTTGCAGGAAGTCCACAGCCCCCATCCATAGCAACCAGCAGAGTTCTCTGTGCCAAGTGACCTGCTTTCACTGCTGAGAACATGGCTCCATCCCCAGGCAGTAGGGCAACCTCAGTCTGTGATCCTCCTGCCCAGAGGCATGAGGCACATTCACATGCTGACAATGCAGATGGCAGGGTCAGGTAGTGTGGGAGTGAGATCCCAATTCCAGGTTTGGGTGGCAAGTGAGAGCCTGTGCCCACTGGGACAGTGTGGAGGAGCTCAAGAGAGCAGGGATCTATAGGTGAGCTCCATCCCCCGCCTCCCCTGGTGGGGGCTTCCCCCTTGCAGAGAGTTCTGGGGATAGAGAGGCCTACCCTCCTCGCCCTGGGATCTAGTGGCAGAAAAGGGATGCACAACTGGAGATCCCACTATCCACCACTGACATGTGAAGACGCATGCCAGCAGGCCAGACACACGAACTGTGGGTGGAGAGGAAACACAAGTGGACCTATCAGAGGGGAAGGTGCCCAGGTGTGTGGACAGGGAAGGAAAAACCTGGATAGAGACCTCAGCAATTGCACCAGTTGATCTCTCCCATCAGGAGCAGCCCTTCAAGCTTGGTGAGATAGCGCTGAAGTCCATATTAACAGCTCCCCCTAGTGCCGGCATAAGCCAGCATAGAAGCTCGCATACCCAGGCTTTCACACTCCAGCTGTGATCTCTCTTGGTCCTACCACCACCTCAGGGGGGACCAGGGTCCAAGCAACACCTGAAGCTACAAGGCCCCCCCCCCAGAGCTTGGGGCATTCATATACCCAACCTAGGGGACCAGAGCCTACCACAGGAACAACAGGTTACTTTGGTAACTGGCTCCTCCATGCAAAGTACAATCAATGACAGAGGGCACAACCCCATAGCTAAACATATTGACTTCCATCTCAAGTTTATTAACTTGAGCAGTGGATTCATATCCACAAGTACAATCCACCAGCTTGGAGCTTAAGCTCGGGGACAAAACTCACTATGCTCCATTGGGAAGAGGTAAAGAGAACAGGTCAGAGGTAACCCAAGAGGTTCATCAAACTTTCTAAAACACCCCTAAGGCAATAAGGGCCCCGCACTCCTCTCCCTCGTACTGTCAAGGAATGACGTTTGGGGACGTGGAGATAGGGCCATAAACCAGCCCTAACATCCCCAGTTCTCGACCAAGAAGCCAGATGAGAAAGAATCAGTGAAAGAACTCAGGAAACATGAAAAATCAGAGTGAAAAGTCACCCACAAAAGAAACCATCAGCTCCTCAGCAACAGATACCAAGGTAAATGAAATGTTTAAAATGACAGATGAGGGATTTTGAATATGATTGAAAGAAAACTCAATGGAATTCAAGAGATAATAGAAGCCCAACACAAAGAAGCCACAAGAACAATGCAGGAAATGAAGGAAAAATTCTCTAAAGAAATCGAAGCATTACGAAAAAACCAGACAGAAATACTGGAAATGAAAGAGGCATTCAAGAAACTGAAAAACACAGTGGAAAGCCTAAGAATAGAATGGATCACTCAGAGGAAACAATCTCAGAGCTTGAAGATAACACCTATGTGCTAGACAAATGAGATGAAGAAAAAGAACACAGAAGGAAGAGACATGAACAAAGCATACAAGAAATGTGGGATTATGTAAAGAGATCACACATAAGAATCATAGGCATTCCTGAGTGAAGAAGAAAATGTACAAGTGCTGGAAAATCTATTTCTAGAAATAATTAAGGAATATTTCCCAGGCCTAGCCAGAAATCTAGATATTCAGGTACCAGAGTGCACAGGACTTCCAGGAGACTCAATGTGAAAAGTCAATCACCACATCACATAGTTATTAGGCTGGCCAAAGTAAACATGAAAGAGGCACTCCTTTGAGCATTAAGGTAAAAACAGCAGGCAACTTACAAAGGAAAACCTATCAGACTAACTGCAGATTTCTCAACTGAAATCCTACAAGACAGAAGGGACTGGGGACCCATCCTCAGTCTTCTAAAACATAATAATGGCCCATCTAGAATTCTTTCCCCTCCAAAACTAAGATTCTTATATGAGGGAGAAATAAAGACTTTCCCAGACAAGCAATCACTGATGGAATTTGCAAAGACCAGACCTGCCCTGCAGAAAGCACTCAGATCTGCATTATACACTGACCAGCACAATAGAAATCCACCAGTGTCAAATGAAAAAAAAGTTAAAGTTCAGAACCCTGATTCCGCAATGGCTTGGGAGGTAAAACAAAACAATCAGAGTCTACCCAATGCTATCATCAGAAATCTGTCCCAAATATCAAATCTCTCATAAATGTGAATGGCTTAAATTTCCCACAGGAGAGACATAGCCTGGCTTAATGGATAAAAAAAAAACACAAGCCAAGTATCGGCTGTCTTCAGGAAATGCACCTTACCCACAGGGACACATTCAGACTCAAGGTCAAGGCATGGAAGATAAATTTCCAGGCAAATGGAAACCCAAAGAAAGTTGGAGTAGCCATTCTTATATCAGATAACATAAATTTTAAAGCAACAAAAGAAAGATAAAGATGGTCTGTATGTAGTGGCAGAGGGAAAAATCCAAGAAGACTTAACAATCTTAAATAGGTATGCACCCAACACAAGAGCACCCAGATACATAAAGCAAATCCTGATTGATCTAAACAACATGATACACAGCAATGCCATACTAGCTGGGGATTTCAACACCCCACTGACAGAACTGGACAGATCCTCTAAGCAGAAAATTAGCAAACAAACAATGGACTTAAACAGAACTCTAGATCAAATTGGCCTAACAGACATCTACAGAACATTCCATCCAAACAACACGGAATATACATTCTTCTCATCAGCTCATGGAACCTTCTCTCAAATTGATCGCATCCTAGGCCACAAAAAAATCTCGAAAAATTTTAAAAAATAAAAATTATACCATGTATCTTCTCAGACCACAGTGGAATAAAATTAGAGATCAATTCCAACAGAAACACTCACCTCTATACAAAGTCATGGAAATTAAACAATGTATTGCTGAATGTCTATTGGGTCAAGGAGGAGCTCCAGATGGAAATCAAAAGATTCTTTCAACTAAATGATAATGGGTTATCAAAATCTGTA